AAAATCACACTGTCGCGCGTTTAAGAATAGGTGGTATGAAAAATAACCAAACATTGAAGGCTTCAGGAGGGGGAACGCTGTCGGTTCTCTCCTCTCCTGATCAAACAAAAATGCGAGAGCCAGCTCCCAATCCTCAGTGTCTCTCTACTTTCTCTTGGCGTCTCATTAATCCAATATCAAAAAGCATACAGGACTCCACGCATCATTGAACGCTCTGCTTGAATACGCCCTCTCCTCCCGCGCACGAGACAGTTCTTCGAATCCGATGACATGACCGATTATTTATGGAGCACCTGTAACTTACACGTCATTTTGAATAGGGACGGGTTAACTGAGGTCACAGCCCAGGCACTACGTAGTTATGAACATAAAGTGACGATGTCGTTATTTTGAATTAATTTATATCGCATTCTTAATTTAAAACATATTGCTACTAATATCGTCAGCCACAGCTAAACAAGACAACAAAATAAGGACGGGTGTGGCTTAACTGTTTCGTGATTGGTTCTTCGGCGTTGGTATCAGATAATGCCGCAATCTGGCTGGCTGAGGGGCGATAATTAGAGACTCGGCCACGCCCCGCGTTTCTTTAGCAGCAGGTGACTATAAAAAAGTAACATAGACCAACAGCAGTAAGAAACAGAGAGAGGAGAATTTTGTTTTTTTTCATTCTCGAAGCGAGTTTTTAGTAAAAAAGAAATGCTTATTTAGCTTCTCTTTTACTTTAGTTTTTTGTTGTTTCTCTTGGTGCGAGGACCACGAAGACGTCTTTACAGAGCTTAGACTGACTCTAGCACGTAAAAGAGTCACGTTTAAATAAGCCTACGACTCTCGTTGGAGCGTGACAGTATATAGGTTGTTGTTCTTTTTCTCTGGAAATTTTTACATTGGCCGTTTTTGTACAATTGTTTCTGATAATGAGCGGTACAGCGAAAGCTATGTGGCAAGCAGATCACATACGCTAGGCGGCTCTAATCCTACGTTTTATACCAGCTGAGGAAGAACTAAGGGTGTCACCATACTTCCATTGCCAATTAACATCTCTCTCTCTCTCTCTCTCTGTAGAAGTGAAACTGCGTTTCGAAATAAAGTATTACGTCGACTGTCTTCAGCTGATAATTCCCTTTGTTATTTGAACTAGCTTCATTAAATAGACACGGGAGCACTATTATTCCACCCAAGTTCGTGCTTGATTTCAAGTTTTCTTAAATATACCTGTTTGATTAAAGGCTCGTTTACACAGCACCGTTTTCGTACGTTACGTATAAGTCTCCGAAACATTCGCACCTCGAATGTCCCGTTCCAGGCTACCTCTTGAACTGGTAGGTGCACGCCTGATATGATGTCCCGAGGACGTGTACGTATGTGCTTTCGCAGCGTGACGTAACGATAGAAAACGGACCTCCGTAAACCAGCCTTTGGCCCAAACGAAAATTTCTCATCTTGGCTTAAATTTAACGAAGTCCTCCAGAGATATTTCGAAAATGTCCGCCATACTCCGCTCACCCTAAGCTGAGACTGCAGCCGATGCAACGACAACGAGAACACGACTTGAAGCGTTCGTTCGGAGAACGAGCGCTTGCGCTAGGAATGCGCGTCTCAAAGCCGGGAGCACGGGCCCAGCTGCCCTTGTATACCTTCGTCTGTAGCGTTATCTTAAGGGAAGGAGTATAGAAATACTATTAAACTTTGCTGAGTGTCTCCAACGACGGACGAGGGTTTTCATACAATAACGTCACTGGATCCCGAGAAAAGTGTACCAAGCTCCCCGTACAGTCACCATTTTGGTTGATGGAATGAGATATTTCTTCGTCACTTCTCCATTCTTAGTGATCCCATCTAAATTCGCTGGTGACGGGTCGCTTTATTCGCTCTTTCTCGCGTGAGTCGAAACGTGGAGGCGCCAGTGTGCAAACAGCCCCCACCCACTTCCGCTTCGGAATTAGACGGCGGGTTTCGCAGTATTTGCGAAATCAAATATACGCTGTACCTTCTGAAAATAGTCACTTCGAGATGATAAGCATGATTAATAAAGCGATGGGATTCGCGGTGCCAAACGCGGTAATATTGGCGAGGAACGCTTTGAAGTACGATGATGCTCCATAGCGGTCTTAGTACGGCTGGTTCAGAACGACACTTTCGAAGCTTCCAATATTTAAATGAACCCAAATGTCGATTGCCATGGCAACTGAGACCCACTAGACAATAATCTTACATGGTTTTGTGGTTTGTATCTGTCTTTGTCCGGCTATCAGGCGGCAATGGCGCTGCTTTTCCAGGATCCAGTGACTTTACCATGATATAACACGTTTCGCCATTATTATTTTTGGTACCGATGGCGTATCACCAAACCGCTGCTCCGGCTCCACTTGCAGCAAAAACTTCACGCTACAAACTCAGAGATGATATCCTGCCCAGTTCGATGTGAACCTAAATTGTGCCTGCGCGGTATCGAATAAATGCTTCAACGTTATTCGCGTTGAAGACATAAGATTATCAGTGGCACTCAGTTATGAAAGTGTATTCTCTAAAAGCGGCGACATTTGCGGGTGTTCTAAGACAAGATAACTTCCCTCTAATTATAGATCCGCACAGTTTTTTGTTTTTTTTTTACATAAAGTTGTTCAGATTTTTTACGGCAAGAAGAAACTACGATTGCTCAAGAAGCTATTTCTGAAGTGAACCTGGTGCGAGCAATCTGTATTATTGTGGAACCAATTCAAGAATACGCTTAATTTAGGGGTAACATTCTTTTCCCGTAGCTGTCGACGTTTTGGTGTAAAGCACACTGACAGTGACCCACGAGGCAAATCTAAAACAATTACAGCTGGTATTGTAACCAAAATAGTTTTATGAATTCAAAATGTATCTTAACAAATCGGGAATAATTAGAATCAAAAATGTGTGCTATAAAATGGGGAATAATGAGTATGTAAAAAATGCATGCTATTATCACATCGACTGATGCATGTATATAAAAGTCAACCAATTGCATATCATCCATCTAACAGCATTAAATGTATTTATTTGTTTTAACTTTTTCTTCCGGTATTTAGAAATCTCCAAATACAAAACATTACTTTGAGTATGGCTGCCCCAAAAAATATTTTTCAAGCTTATGTATCCGTTACAAAGATCAAAACAACACTTGCCACAATAAAGAAAGAAACTAAAGTATTAGGATTATAATTGAAAAAAAAAATTGTAATTTGTAAGATACGCTTGTGGGTGGTCGGCCAATATCGGTGCATTCGTTCAGGTGCCGAGAATCATTCGCGACTCCAGTCGCCAACGCGAGTGCGTGGGTATATTGCGATTTCATCAGCCACGACGCATATTACATGAGATCTGCTGCGTCGGTGACGCTATATTTATATTGTTCTCTCGATCCTATACAGTTTTACGTTCTAATTACTTGCTCAATGAGCTTTTAAAAAACGTATTTCACGTTGGAAACAAAAACGTGCCGCCATGCGGGCGTTTTTTCAATAGTCGTACTGCAGTTGAACGCACACTGCGGGGCACATGTTAGTGCGAACCGGACATCGGCGCTTTTACGCATTTTACTTCGAAAGGAGAGTGGCGTTCGCCAAAACTCACTGCGTAGTTTGATGCCCCAACTGAGCACTTTCCACCATTATAATAGTTTTTATGGCAAACCTTCAATAACAAAATGAAAGAAAAAAAAAAAAAAAACAAAACAAAAACAGCCGATGTTTTTTTGGTTCTTTTTTTCCTAGCAGTGTTCAGGAGTGTACTGCTCGCAACAACGACAGAGGGGTAAAAAAAAAAAAAGGCACAGTGTTCCAACATGCGAAAAACTAAAGACTACGACGTCGTTCTCGCAAATAGAATCGAGTGCCGTCACGAGCGTTTATTTTGCAACACTTTAATCTGCCCGAGTCAACGCGGTGCGTGACAATTCTCTCCCCGTCACGGATCCCTCCAGCATCCTCGGATGGGAGCCGACGCTGCTGAGAGGGGCAGATTCCTTCTCGAGTGACAGGTTATTATTTGCGACATGCACTCGCTCGCAACACCGGGATCGCGTCACCTGCGGGGTGCGCCGCATGCACAAGGTCGAATAGTGCGATGCCTTCGATTTCCGACAGGGATCCCGCTACTGTAGTCGCGGTGCTGCTCGCGTGGCCAGCAGATCACCGGAATGATAACATTCGTCAAGGTCAACTGTCTCTCTCCCCGCCCTGCCCACGGAGAAGAGCCGAGCGCAGTTGGGCCCGCATTTGTTTATTTGTGTTCGAGAAGTCCATCAGGACCGTTACGCTAACTCGGGTAGCAACAGCCGTTCCGGGGTGCCGACAACCGCCGCCGCGCGTCAACCCATGCGTATTGACGAGTCGGTAACGAGGACAGTCTGGGGACGATGATCAACCAACTTCCGGATAGCACTGCGGTCATTTTTTTGCGTGCAGAAAGAGAGCGCGCTATAGGTTCGGGCTTGCTAGAGACTAGCGACGAGAGGGAAAGGAACCTCCAAAATATCAAGGAAGGCTCGTAGCTCGCTTCCGTTTGACCGAAAGAAAAATAAACATAAAACAACACCAGGCAAGGCCAGGGGAGAGCTGCGGTATCGATCCACACGGGGGCCAGGCAGCATTCCTTGCTTCCCCACGGTATCCCCCCTCTCTGCGCGACGAAACAAGTGGCTCTCTGGTCGAGTTAAAACGGCTCTGCTCCAGAGAGCCAGAACTCTCCGAGTTCGCCTCTCCTACTCGCAGGATCACCGCCGGAGAAGCTTCGTTCTTTGGGCCGGGGAGGAAAGCGGCGGTCAAAACCGACACCAACCTCGCGAGAGTGGAGAAAAAAAAATAAGGCTACGAGAGCACCGCGCGCGCGCGCAACGCTCGTTGCCACAGCAACGGTATCGTCGGCGTCGCCTTCTTCTCCGTCGACCGGGGTTTCCCCCCTCAGCTGCGCGAAGGGTGGCGGCGCAAGCTCGGGGTTCGGACTCCGTGGTTCAAGCTATCTCGGCTCCTCACCTCGTTGTCTTGGTCGGCCATTGCGGAGAAGCGGCTTCAGCGCCGTCAGCATCCCTTCCCGAGAGATGGTTCCTGGTGGCCGGGAGGTGCTCCGCTGGCGGCGAGCGCTGGACCGAACGCTGGCCTCACAGCGACCATCACTGCCCGACGACGCCTTGTGCGGCCGACGTCCCGTCCTCCCATCCCTCCTCCTCCTCTGCCCCCCCCCCCCCTCCTTTCTCTCTCTCATACAGATCTCCTCGCAATGTCACGTGACAAGTTTTTGTTTTTCTTCTCGGAAACCTCCTCTCTTCGCGTGTCGGTCGCTGCCGCCGTCGCTATGGTGGTGAAAGGGCGTATGGAGAAAAGTGTGTGCATCGAAGGGGATGGGTTATCTCAGTGCTGATTTGACGGTGATCAATTAATTGCGAACGCACGTGGAGTTGCGTGCCTCAAAGAAAACTACACCGTGCAAAGCCGCCCCCCCTCCCCCCCTTCTTCTTTTTTTTTTTTATCGTTAGGAGAATTCAAGTGATTTAGGAGGCTGAATTACTTTCGGGATCACGGGTGTACGTCGCTGTTAGCGAATCTTCGAGCAGTGCACTGCGTTATTGTTATACGTTTCCGTGCTGGAAACGTATTTATTTTATTTTAAAATCGGTAAAAGTAATTCGCAAGTAGTTAAAAGTTAGTGTTCTTTTTTTTTTTTTTTTTTTTTGTTCTTATCGAGTCACTATGACTACATATCATAGTTATTTTGTTTTCTGTGGCATTTGTGCCGCATTAGCCCAGTCTTCCTTCTTTATGTTTAGAATTTTAATCCAGAATGCATTTGGACTAGGGCAAATTCAGATTTGTGTCACGTAGCCGTAGCCAAAGCCGTACCGTTTCGTCGCTAGGTATATTAAGTGGGATGACGTTCGGGTAGCGTATCGAGACACCACACCACTATTGGTCACGTAAACCCGGCGACTTGTGCCTGGACACGCCAGGCCACGTGACGCCCGGCCACGTGGTGTCAGATCCCGCAACTCATGGTGCAAAGACGTATTGTCACGTGACATCACGGCTTCAATAACGTTACTCGATGTTGCAACGTTGGGGGAGAAGTGGTGGTGCAACATGACATCACATCGTGTGACCACGTCGCCGGATGTTACGTGACACTGCCGTGTAACGTAACGTCATCTGTCACCACGCTTGGCAACTTGAAGTCAGATGACAGCGTGACGTCACTGGATGTCACGTTGTCACGCTGCTCATACTTGCGTATACATTGCTTATGCATTGTGCGTAATGGACGTTTGGGCAGCAGATCAAGGGAGCGCCTCTTTTTTTTATCTCAATGGGAGTTGTTAGTTATATAGATATAACTAACAATTCCTATTCGCCTCGAGATCGAACCGTGTCGCCACCGTGCGGCCAAAATTGGAAACGCGCGAAAGCGGGGATACCGCCGTGCGTCGTCTGCTACGGGCGCACGCTCAGAAGCATGAATCTCGACGAAGCAAGCCCGTTTCCGGCTGAGCTTGACATTCCTTATTAAATGCTTTATGTTTTTGTTGCCGTTTCTTCTCACTAAAGGTTGTGCTGTATCGTTTCTCATGCGTAGAAATTCAGCAAAGCGATTATTATTAAGTCGGAAACTTCCATAATCTAAGTGTGTTGGTTTGCATACAATCACTGGTCCCACGTATTTTTGTTATCTCGCACCAACCGTGGCTTTCATAAAGCATTGAATGTTGAGTGGGTCTTTGGTTTGATTAGAAAATTAACCCGACTGATCGCTATCCTTTAATAGACTAATCAATCGATAACTCCGTATGTTGATATTTCGCCGGCCATATTGCGTGAAAGACGTTAAAACTACACATTTTTTTACTGGTTTTACTATGTCATAAATGGCATATTGCATACCCATTCTAAACTTCACGTTGTGAGTCCTACATAAATATGAACGCGGGAAACCTTTTAAAATGAAGTATTTTTTAAAGTTATTATTTAAACAGTATAATCACTCTCGGTGAAATGACAAGCACGCTGAAGTGGTTTACCGTGCAAGCCTGTGTCACAAAAGAAATAAAGATGTCAAAAATATTAAAGAAGGCATTTTTTACTTCTTGTTGACTCCTTGTTGAACCGGCAAAACAAATTGCAATTAAAGCATTATTGGAATAATATGAAAGTTAATCGATGAACTGCCCAGTCCCGATATACATTAGGTGAGGGCGGAGGGTGATCGGAAAGTCTCGTGAAGGTCGCTAGCCCTCTTCAGTAAAAGAGTATCACTGCGGCCGATGCTGTCTGTGTCATGGTGCGCGTCGTTTGTTGGGGTTGTAGAGTGTGCTGTGTTGGAATACAAGGTTATTTAGCCAGAAATTTATAGTATTAGCCTCTTGACATCCGCGGCCCTCACCCAGGAAATTGAAGCGGGTGAACCCACACTACCGAAAAAAGCATTCAATAATAGGAACATTGCTGCGTTGCTCGGTTACACTCGTTTATTACTGTCACGGAAGATATATTCGAACAGTTTGTTTCAGTTGTCCTGCAAACCATGCAGTTCGCAGATCTTAACTAGAAGAGATACTATCTCCTCGTCGCAACGCAGTAGATTTGTTTAGACTCCAGAAAACTTTCCCACACTATGGCACAATAAAAGGACAGAGGAACTCAATAGTATGGTAATTTCCAATACAGCGCTAACTTATCTTCATTATAAATATTTATACTACTGGAAAAGCTAGAAGTTAAAAAAAGCATAAAAGCTGCGATTTCACAGCATACAGTACCAGTATTATGTTATCTGGGTTGGAATTATTTTTTTTTTTTAATACCCGCGTTGATGAACCGATACATCCATTTTAAAAGAAACAAATATTTAACATAAATATTCCAGTTCAGCCGGAGACAGGCATCAGTCGTGGTGATCCATGCCTTCCAACGTCTGCCTGGAGCAGACGACGCACCCACAGAAGCGATTATATAAATTTAGGCCGCGCGCTGGCAACACTATTCGATCTTCACTGAAGCATCGAACACTACCGCACCCTTTTCCGCTAGAATTGTTTTCCCACCGATAGTATGCGACAAAATAAACGCAATAATCTACGCCGTCTCGCGCGCGAACGTGGAGAGCCTATGGGGCGGCCGTTCCTCTATCCCCGCTTTGATGATGATGATAGCGCGACCGTTGCGCCACCTCTAGGTCGATCTCGAGGCCAATAGAACTCCAACTCCTATCTCAAATTATATTTAGATCTAAATATAATTTTCTGCCTTGCGAGCGGCGAAACTTCACTTGCTATTGATATTCATAACCTATGTTCGTCCCCTCGACGTAGTTGGGAGGATTTTGAGCATTCATTTCTGCTCTAAGTACAGGCCACTAAAGTTATGTTAATGCACCTCCTTTGCAGAGATATGTTTCTCAACAAATGGAACGTAATTTGCGAATAACTCTGTTTGACCAGAAAAGACAACAACCACATTGTAACAACTCGTTCGTATACAAAGTATTCTGGAATATACACTAACATAATTATTTTATTTCTTTGCTTTATGTACATTTATGTTCAATATAAAAAAAACAAGGTATTTGTTATATTGCAGCGTTATTTGTGTTTTAGAATAATTTTGGAAAACAAACGTCGAACTATGTCCCTTTCATGATCTTCGGCAGTTTGGCAAGTTCTTGTGTATGAGTTATTTAAAATGTTTTAATTACCTTCACATCACCAGAGAGCTTGCATTTAGTTGTTTTTGATATTGAATATCATAAGCGCTAAATAAAATTGGTTAGATACTTTTGAATGAATGAACTTTTCGAAAATCTAACATAACTGGGAATCGTTTTTCTGAAAAACCATATTCTAATTTCTTTTCCTTTATTAATGACAATGTATGATAGCGATTTATGAGAAAAACTAAATACAAAACAGAGTATTTTCTTTATACGCCAGTTATAAAACTTTAATCTAGTCAGATATGTCTTGTAAAGCAGCAAGCTTTGTTGTTAAACGAAATAACGTTTACTCCACATTACCACGATTTCACTTTTTTATAATAATATATGGTAAAGGGAAGATGGGGCACTTCTACATTTGAGAAAAAACGCTTGAATTGCGTTCATTTGACCTTCGGAATAACAGATATCACAACTATATTTCAATGCGACGCGCCGGAGAGCCATAAGAGCAATTTGAAAATAGGGCTGAAGCCCCGCCTCCCTAGCCTTGGCAAGCCAAAAGATCCGTCGATGACGTCACGGACAGCGACTGTCTTTCGCGTTTTTCTCGCGTTTAACAATACTTGCGCGGCAAATGGTTTTGGTATTCGGGTTCACGAGGTAAGAATACACTAGAATTCACTTCTAACTCATTTTTTTTCAAGAAGCTCCGTAGCTTCCCTTTAAGTTAAGTAATAATGCTAGGTTATTAACCATTTCCATGCCACAATATTGGCAAAAATAGCATCCATACGAAGATGCAGTCGCAACACATAACTGAAAAGATTGAAGCATTAATTTCGATGATACAAACGTGGTTCTATAATTTATAAATATATTTCTGACCAAACACAATCATGCCTTGACACTAAGAAAACGTAGAGCAAATAAAAAATCGTCTATCTGAGAAATTTTCCCGATTTTGATATATTTTCGAAACATTTCTTCATTCACATCTAGGTACCTGATTTTACTTTGTTCATATACTACAGAGCAGAATTTCAGCCTCTTGGTGATATCAAGGTCAATAAAACAGGTTAAATAGTTTACACACGCAAACTTGTCAAGCTTTGGCAAAAATCATCAGAGGGCCTTAGTTGAACATTAAAAAATATGTTTGTTTTAAACAGTAATATTTTTAATAAATTAAGCATTATAAAATCTACTTTGGGAGTGTCACGCAGATTATGAAAACATAAACAAAACATATAATATTTTGTTTCATGACCACAAATATATCTTGAAGCTTGTCAGGTCTGACTTGTGACTGCGTTCTCACATCTGTGTTTTCTGGTCACTAATTGAGTAGGAATATATATAGCTAATTAATTCACATTATATCATGGCATGTAAGCTTAGAATATATTTAAAATTGTAGACAATCTGGAGAAAAAGTTATTTTACTCGTCAACATAGTTTCACAACGGATATCTGACAAAATTAAAGATTTTCTGTCATGTAAATAAAGTGCTATATATTTCTGTTTATAGTTTTGATAAACCACTATTATACCTCGCCCATAACA